ATGTTACACACTAGACTTTTTAAATTATGAAGATAGACTGGTTCAAAGTCTCCATCTTTAAGGCCTTGAACATATCCAAAAGACACCCTATTCTTTCTTTAACCAAGCTCTGATGGTCTGTTTTAATGAAGTGGCTGGAAAATGAAGCCAACAATGAGCTGAGTCAGTCTCCTTAAGCTTCCATGTTAAAATGCCCAGCTACAGCAGAAATAAACATGTTTACAGCCTGGTACATAAAGCAGCAGTTTCTATAGCTAATTTCTTCCTTCGTGACAACTATGGGGCGAAACCAGGACTGCCAAGATGGTGTCACAGAAACTACATCCATTCTTAATAATGCAGTCTATGGTTTCCATTAATCTTGGATTTCAACACATTTGATCAGACTAGAGTAAAAAAAAGTTTAATTATTGTATGTATTTAGTTTAATTTTCACTATATGGGGGGAAAAATTAAAAGCACTCAAGTTATAGACAACTCCAAGGATATTGAATAAATGAATTGCATGTGTTATAATGCTGGAAATTATGCCTTTTTAATTAATCTTAATTGCAAGTGGACTTCCTGTCAATAAGTTGTGTAAAGAGAAACTAAACTCCACAACCTCGAGGTCAAACACATTTCCTCTAACATTTTGTCCAAGCCACAATGACCCACTCAGCCTGAAGTCAAAGGCTCACTTTAAGGCTAAGCACAGAGTTTGCCTCGCTGACAAGTAGACACTTTATCCCTGTTTGTGCAACATTTTTGGCCTGTCAACAGGTGAGAAATGTCAAAGCAAACTACACAACCAGGTAGAAGCATACACTAGCAAGTCTGTATATATATTTTTTCTCACCACTGCTAAAATCCTGTGGACTGGATCTCTGCTTGCATTCTGGTTGTGTGAAATTCCTCCAACATGTTACGAATGCTTTGAGGATGTTGGTGTTGGGGGACACATGATGACAGACTGTTGTAGTATCAACGTCTATGGAGATGTGTCATCCTCATCCAACTAAAACACTAATACTGAGCATTTAAAGTCTTTATAGAGCAAGGCAGATCCCTTTCTTCTGGGTAACAGTATTTATTTGGTGATTTGTTCATGTTTAGGTCTTAAAAAAGGCTTGTTTATGCCAGTGTACTGCGCTGTACTCTATGAAAACTCATGAGAACAAGATAATGTTTGGATCTCCAAGCATAAACAATTTGAGTGGAGCAGTACAGTGTGTATACAGTGAGTTTATTAACATTAACGTGAAGTCCAGCGATTGCCATGCACACATTCAGCAGAAGGCACAGAAAAGTTTTTGTTTTTATAAATGATGATTTATTTGATGATGTATTTTAATGTGTAATTAGTGCTTGAATTTCTTCCTTCAACACCCCCCCAAAGCCCCTTCCTCAACTTCTGGTTACTAAGCTTGAAAAAGTGAGTTTAGATCCAATGGATGGAAAAAGAGCAGCATACAGAGCTCAATTTAAATATCAGGAGGGAAAAGCAGGTGCAGAAGTGCTTATATATACAATAAGTAGTAAATACAATTAAAGTAAGAATTAAATAAATACTACAAATGGGAAAGAAGAAAGAAAAAATATCAAGAAACAAGAAAAGTTCCCAAATGTTAACACACCTTTCTGTAATCCCTCCTTGTGTATCTAATTTACTCCTGTTAGAGAACTTGTAGTTTACAATGTGAACAGCAGGTGGAACTAAATACCTGTATAAAACACATTTGGCTCATTGAGGACTTTGTGCTTCAGCCACCTTAGATCTGAGTTTGCATCTTCTTGAGGATAAATATATTTATTGAATCTCTTTTCTTTCTACAAGTCACACTCCTCACCTCAAATGACCCAACAGTTTGTCAGTCATCCATTTAAGGAGGTTTCCTGCTGCCACTGACTTTAAAACAGCTTGTTTTACCCAGGATGCCCTGCTGCCTCATGGGCATCATTTCACAGTGAACGCCTGGACAACCAGGATGATGACGAGGTCACTGATTTGCTAAAACTACTTGTCTGCCTGGATGATGAGCTGTCATTAATGACTCCCTGAGATTGAAATTGCTGCGTTTTCACTTCACAGCAAATGAAGTTGAAAAGTATGCGTGCTAATGGGCAATGTGCACTTGGCTAATTGACTATGGAAAGCAATTAAGGTTAGCGGGCCTGGGTTGAGATCAAATATGAGCTAGAGGTTCTCTATTCCAGAGGCCACTGGAACATTTAAGTCAACACACACACACACACACACACACACACACACTGCTCTCTTAACTCACACGTATTCTTTGAAAGGCCTAAAATTATGAAAGTGTGGTGTGTTCTTGTTGAATAGCCTTTGATGACTTTGTCCCCTATATGAGATTTCTAAAGGTTTTATTCAAGTATTTAAATGTCCAAATGTTTGCAAAGTTAGAATCAGCTTTAGTGGCCGAGTATGTGAACACACACACACACACACACACACACAGGCTTAGGGAGTAATCAGGATACAAGTTCTGCCTTCCAGCTGTGACAAAGGTCTGTAGGCTACTGCTTGAATTTAACAAATGGAAAGCAGGTTTTTCTTTTAAAAATACACCGAGCAGAGAATATAGTTTTTAAGCTAAAATTCTTCTATTTTGTTTTTGGTTACATTATTCTGTTTTGTTATAGAATATCTATAATATATAATTTTATTGATT